CTCAATTTTCATCGCAAATGGCGGCTAGCCTTGCTGGCGAACTCTTCGACAAGTGGGATCTGACCTTCCCTGAGAAAGCAACGAAAAAAGAAGGTACTAGTGTATCGGGTATATTGTCATCACTCACTGTCTCACGTCAGCTCTCCCCGACCCTACCGGGTTCAATTGGAAAGTGCAGCAATCAGGAGAGGCAGCGGGGCAACAGGCCATCCAAAAGCTTGCCCAACAAAAAGCTATCCTGGAGAAACGTAGTTACTCTTATGCGACTGGGCTCATACAACCGTTAATAGGCGCATGGGAGACTGCTATCAGTCCGGCTAAATCTATATTCATGAACTTGTTCATGCTCTGGATGAGCGGCTCTGGACCTGGTAACTATTCCCTGCTGTTCATAGTAGTTTGTACAGCTACGCTTTAGGCTTGTTTAGTATACTTATTGTGGGTTATGCTACTATGAACACCGTCAAGAGTCTTGCCAAATGCAACCAGGGTAAACCATTGACCAGCAGAGGGATAGTTTCAGCACCTGTTACCGTTTCAGTCTTCGACCAATTCGCTGCTGCAAACGTGCTTCTCCAAAAGCTGGCTTACATTGGCATTAACGTTGCGATATTAGCGTAGGAAACTACTACTGTGGGGTGCGTTAAGGTCTGTGCCTAGATACTTGGGAAATCATGCTGCGAATATGGGTATTCTGCCGATCGCCAGTGGCGACTGGATCCAGTTCATCCCGGAGCAACGGGTGACGTTATGCTTTCTCCACGACAATTGTTATCAAGTTTTTCTCAGGTGGTAGAATCAGCTCGGCCTCTGAATGCGCGCTTGTTTGTTGATGACGTCAACGGTGGAATCTAGACCGTCCGTTATAAGTGTTCATTTTCTTGCAGTTTCGTCCGCCTCCCTTGTGTTGAGTAATGGGGTTGTCCAGGTGACTTCGTCATCGAACACAGAAGGCAACATTGAATTTTGCGACGATGTCTCCATTTAAACATCCCTTGACGCTCGTTCAAAATGTGGCCTTCGACGAACAAGCGGGCTAGACTCGGCAATTTCCAAGATAGTGATACTATCGCTATGACGATTCACGATTTTCCGAATCGACTGTCAATGTACTAATGCACAGAACATGGACGTGCGTACGGGATCGGGTTGCCACAGTCGTTGCACGCTTCCTCAGTCGGGAGGCGTTCTCATCGTTGAAGTCAGTTAGGCTTTGATCAAACGGCGATTCTTGTCTTGTTCTTATGCTGGACGAAATGTC